AGAAAAGAAAAGAAAAGAAAAGAAAAGAAAAGAAAAGAAAAGAAAAGAAAAGAAAAGAAAAGAAAAGAAAAGAAAAGAAAAGAAAAGAAAAGTCCCATCAATGGCGAGCAGAAAGCTGGAGATGTAAAGAGAGAAGGGAAGATGCAAATAGCAATAGTGGGTGAAAGCACGGGTATTGCTTCACATTTAATGACTGACTGCGTTAAGGACCCCAGTCGTCTCCTCTGGCCAATCATTAACTGCTTGGAAATGTCCTCCCATTAGCTCTTATTGTTAACAACAAGTTACTAATACATATTTAACAGTATTCATTATTTTTTTTAACTGCCTCACAGCAGCCTCCGTGAGCGAGCATGAGCGAGTGGGAGCAGCATCCCCCAAGCCCTGAGAGGCAGAGGAGGGCTCAGAGCTCCATTTTCCCCAGGCGGCCGCGCCGTGCCCGGCCTGTGTGTGAGGGCCCTGGGCTTTGTTACAGGGGCCTCCTTCGTGCGTGTGGCCAGGCAGATGCAGCAGAACCCTGCTTTTCTGAAACAGCAGCAGTGCAGATTTAAAGCAGTGTTGAGTGTACAAACTCTTTTTCTTTTTCTTTCATTTTGTTTTCTTTTTTTTTTTTTTTTAATTTTTGCAACAGCAGTAGATAATTATGTTGCGAGTAAATGCCCACGAAGATTTTTGCTTTTTTTTTTCTTCCAAACTCTTTACCTTCAGTTGGCCTATATCATGCTTCTGAAACCAGTAGGAATTTAGAAAAACAACTAAACCGGTGTGATAATAAAACGCATTATTTTAAACACAGACAGTAACGAGTTTAAAAGTTACGAGTCCTCAAAATTCTCTTCACTCATTTCCAGCTGGATAAACAGAAATGCACACACCAGACTAACTTGTAGGGAGTAACAGGCCATCAGCCTGAAGGCCTGCCCTGTGTGTCTCACATTGACTCAAAAGATCCCTAGGCAGGATTTGTTATCTGAGGAAGTGAAAGTAGACAATTTATTGCAGTTAGATCCTCAAAAACAGATTCACAATTATCAAATAACAGAATCTGTTAGTTCTGCTGCCTTCAGTAAAATATCAGATCTCCATGGAAATAGGATTACAGGAGAAACCATATTAGATTAGGGTTCATCTGGCTCAATTTCCTGTCTCTGACAATAGCCAGTACTTCGGAGGAGGGTGGCACACACAGAGTATTAAATGTACATAATTTTTCAGTCTAAATGTATAGAATCTGACTGTAAAATCATCCTGTCTTTCTCCTGCTCTATGCTTCGTCCTTTCACTTTCGTCTTTGGCCCTTTGTCTCCTAAAGAATGATGCATTTTGGGGTTTATTGGGAAAATTATTGAATATTTGAACTATCTCTGAGTCATATGACGCTGGTTAAGTGGTGTCTGGAGTATAAAAACTTGGCAGAGTGCATTTTTGAGGCTTGAGCTTTGTCTACTCACTTGGAGTGCTGTTGTGGCTACAATACCAGTACAATGTAGTATTACTTTTTTGGATCTGTGGGCTGGTAACTCATAAAATCCCACTAAAAATTCCTCTACATTTAAAGAGTCAATAATCTTACATTGAACTTAATCCAGGACAGATAAATAATTCTGAATGCATTTCCTGAACAGCATCTAGTGCTACCTGATAACCCATATCTCCAAACTTCCCTCAAAGTCCCTTTTGTATCTGGGCCCTGTTGTTTGGTAGTGACTGATGGCTGTAAACTAATCAGTGTGAGGTGCCAGTGAGGAGGCCAGAAATCTGCTACAGATACTGCTTGCAATGCAAAGATGTGCTTGCCTCAGCTTTGGACCACAAGTTATGCTGGTAACCAAAACTCCCATTGTTCCCTCAGCTCCAGGCATACCTCCTCCCCAGGGAACTAAAGGTAGTTTTTGTGGTTTTTGCCATAATTATTTTTCTTCAGTGGGAAACCCAAGTAAAACAGTCTGTGGCTTAAGATGCACAAAAATGTTCTCACTTTTGGGAACTCTTCGAGACCCTTTTCTTTGGGGTATTTTGGGTTTCATGGGCTGGGTGCAGAAAATTGGGTTTTTTTTAATTGTAGGCTCCTATAGCAAGCATTTGACCCAAAGCATATGGAAGAACTGCCCCTGTGTTTGCATTGAGACCTCATTGATCAGTAGTTTAACAAAGAACAAAGAGACCATGGTGCACACACTGGGAGCTGTAGTACCACTTGCCCCAGCAGCACACTGGTTAATTGTACGCAGCAGGACATCTCATGTGCTGCCAAAAGATGTTGGAGGAGCTATGAAATAGTGACTTGAAGGGTTAGTAACAAATCAGTATTACCTTCTGGGCTTAGGCTGAGGAGAAAGGGCAGCCCCTTATGGATTTTGTTTTGTTCTCCCTAAATAAAACCTCTAGATCCAGCAGGGTAATGTTTTGTCTTACCAATGCATCTGTTTCTTTCTTGGTAAATAATATTTTAATTCCATGTGTAGCTAATGTTTTAAAGATAAGTCATTAAAGAAACAAATTTTAATTCTAGATTTTCACAGACTTATTAGGATTATAATGAATTAAAACATAATGAAAAATAGCCTGATTAAGGTTATTAAGAGGTTATATCATCTTTAAGCCGTACCTCTGTTGAAAGAGGCTCATGAAAGGAGGAGTTTCTGTCAGCTGAGACATTTGCAATTTGATTAAAAGTGTAAAAAAAGGTGCAAATACTTCTCTACCTGGAAGGATAAAACACAAAGATTCACCGTCACTGAATGTGCCAAAAAGTCCTTGTCTTCTGTGCTGCTCAGTCTTGAGAATATCCAATCCATTTTTCATGTCCAGCTACAAATGAAATAGGGAGAAATTACTGTGATTTTTTCAGATGTTTGAATATTAGCAAATGTTCGGAATGAAAACTATTAACACATCAGAAATGAGAGGCTTTTAAAATTGAGAGGAAGAGGCTGCTTATTGTATGATAGATTTTTCCAGGATCCTTGTATTGTGCTGAAGCAGTGGAAATTAGTGAAAATCCACTAACCAGCCATTCTGCTGTGCATGCAGAAAGCCAGAATTCCTTATCAAGCCTCATAATACCTCATCCATATATTAGAGCTGGCCAAATAAACTAACAGTTACATCAGTCCTGCAGCTGTTTTCAGGAGGCCACAGCTCCCTGAACCTGAAACTTTGACTGCTGACAACAAGTTGCTTGAAGCAGAAATGTTATTGAGAAGACGCCTTCCCTGTAGCATCGCTGCTCCCGCTGCCACCTCCAGCCTGGTGCCTCCATCTGCCCGGGCACCGTGGGGCAGCAGTGCCAGCAGGCTCTGCCCACCAGGTCCAGGATGCTGCTGAGTTTCTCATCAGACACCCTGTGCTGCGGGGACTCTTTCCTCCAAGCGCTGCAGACAGCCCTGGCTGTGAGCTTGACAGGCGTGCACTTGCCTATGTTTATAATGAAGATGCCATTGGCAGACCCTCCACAGGTTGGGTAAGGTGATTTCTTTTAGCCAGAGATTTACACGATTTTGCAGGAAAGCCTTCTCAGCTTTTTCAGCCTTTTAGATGATGCCACAATGCAGCCATTGCCAATATTCAACTTTGGGAAAGGTTCCTGAAATATTTTTACCCTCTGACTCTTCTCTCTGCACTTATAAATATCCTTGATAAAGTACTAGAAGAGCTAGATATTTACTGGACCCAATAAACTGCCAAATCTATCTTTCTCTGTTTACATTTCCTTATCTAATTCCTTATCTAATTTTGTATTTCTTACTCTAGGCCACCAATTGCAGGAGTTGCATGTTGTGAGATACAGATACAATGCATTCCCTCGAGGGACAGAGTACAAAAGTAAGTTGCTTACTTTTTTTTACTCCATTTGTGAACTATTTTCTTGTGTAAATAAATACTATAGAAGCAGTTCACTCTTTCCCTTTGTAGCTGTGCCTGATGTTTACTGAAGCTGAAATGCAAACACAGTATTCATACCCCTTCCTAAAGTCTTCATGCATTCATCCTAATATGCTAGCACTTATTTGGACTAGGATATCAGACCACGTTTGAAAGCGTTTTTGATGCTGATTTTTCAGCGTACTTCCAAAAAGCTAACTACCTTTTAGCCACATCAATGTAAGATGTCAAGGCAGGAGACAGAGAAGCTGCCCTACAGGAAGAGCTGACCAGTGCTTGTGACTTAAATGCAATATCTTGTACCTTATGCACTGTAGGTAAATCATTCAGAGTTGTGCTTGGCCAGTTGTGCAACATCTTATCTGAAGGAGAAAAATTACCTTCTGACTCCCATAGAGTATCATTTTCTGCCCTAATGCATGAGAAAACTCTACTACTCTTTGCTTAAAGAAATAATTTTTTTCCTTCCAATCTTCTACTTTACTCAATTGGAATTAAGTATTTTCTGGAGTGCCCAACAATTCAAGGGTGCACTATACCTGGCCTCGGATATAGCACTCTCAGTGCATTCTGTGTAATTGCAGCACTTTACCTTGTTTATGAAAATGTTGTTTGCTTTTATCTACCAAGGATGGCATCCAGGAATGCTACATTTATTCTTTAAACACCAAAAGACTTCGAAATGCTAAAGATGAGAGTATGCTTTATTGTAAGCATGACAGTAGCAAGTTTAAAAACTTTTTCATCTTTAGCCCTCAATAGTGGCATGCTGCTCTAGCTATAGGATAGGCTTTGCAGGGGTAGGGAGCTGTGATGTTCCAGCTGTGCTCCTGTAACTCAGATATTTGCAGCTGAGATAACTAGTCCTCTCAGCTATTCTGTGCTGCAGGAAAAACAGTCAAGATATCTGTTGCCTAGGCACCATGACTGACTGCCATGGATTGACCACATAGCATCTCTTTTTTAGCAGCATTATTCACATGAATTACTAACTTCAACCATGAAGCCATGCAGTGGATTGCAGAAGTCTGTTATCTCACATAATAAATTAGGTTTAGTAAATCAAGCCTTAAAATAACTGTCTCATTTGAAACTCAGTCTTAGGTTTTCAGGTCATAATTTTTTTACAAATTAACCTGAAAACACTTCTGGCATGAGTAATGTTGAGAATGATGTAGACTTCCCTTGGTATGGGCTAAATCTTCATCCTGCCAACTGTGCCTGTGAGGGCTGTGTGTGCAGAGGCAAAGCAGAATCAAGACCACTAGCTTACTTTATTCAGACCAGCAAGGACAACTGCCTTCATAATGTACCGGATGATAAAACATACAAGACTTGGAGCAGTATTTAAGAAAAAACTATTTGAGATGATATCCCATTAAACACAGCCATTGTTGATGAAATTGCAAACACAGAATTTGATTTTGTTGGCTTCAGGAATGTTTCTAGAAAAGCCAATTCAGTATGTCTCTTTCTAACCTAAATTAGGACTGGAATGATGATATCGTGGTTTTCCTGTTATATAATAGTGACATAACAGTGTGACAGAAAGTGACATAGACACATAAAGAAAGCCCAAATTTTTTCCCTAATCTACCAGAATGTGTTATGTCGACCAAAACAAATGTATTTTAACTAAATTTCTGGGAAAAAAATCTCTTTGCAAAATTATGCCAGAATATAGCCATGAGACAAAGACATAAGAAGGGACTAGAAGCTGTTTAAGGAGAATAATAAAAAGGAAAAACATTGTGAACCTATAGAGGGTTAATGTATGCATGTATATAGATGTGGGTGGATTTTCAGACTTCATAGCAGAAATTGCTTTACTTTTCCTATACTTTAGTTTAAGGAAAATGCATGTATCACATGTAAGCACCAAAACAAACAAAAAAAAAAAAGACAGTAAAGAGAACTCAAATATTTCAGAAAATTCAAGACCAAAAAAAAAAGAGCAAGGAAACTGGCAAAATTTAACAAATTTAGCTGAATGGTGAAGATAATGGTTCAGTGTTGACAAATGTAACATAAGAAGGAATAATTGAAGCCATCCAAATACATCATTATTGTCACTCAAGGGGAGACCTGTGCCTTCTACTGGATGGTTCAATGAAAGTCTCTGCTCTGTGTAGAGTAAGGGTCAAAGAAGCAAGCAAACTGTTAGGATACAAGAGGGTTGGGAGAGAAATAATGCCCAAAATCTTATAATGTCATTAAATAAATCAGAGGTATGCCCTGACCTGGAGTACTATATTCAGTTGTGGTTATCTGCATTGAAGAGAATGTATCATAAATAGATGAAGTATAGAGATAAGCAGTGTAATTGATTGGAAGCATGAAAAACCCTTCATTTCAAGAAAAATTAAAAAGTTCATTTTTTTTTTTAATGAGAGGGAAGATGAACTATATGAGTCACTAATAATAACAATGGGTACACAGTGTATAGAAGAGGTTATTTATTTAATAAGACAATAAGTTAGGAAGTGCAATGAATTATTAGTTGTTGAAATTAAAAAGTAATTATTAATTTTTTCTCTGGAACTCAGTGCAACTTGGTGGCCAAGACTTCAGCTGAATGCAGATTTCAGTTGGATATGTATTTAAATAAATATATCATCTATGCTGCAGTCCACAAGACCTAAGAGTTGTTTTGAGTTACAGACTACCCCGAGGGTGAATGTTAGCCAAATTACAAAGAGAGTTAAGAAGAAACCTTTCCTGTGGGCAGGTTATTTCATAAATGCTTACTGCAGGGTTTCTGACGCCTCCCTGAAACACACCTGGTACAGGCCCCTGTCAGAGAGCACCTCAGAGGAGATGGACCACTGCTCTGATCCAGTGTGTCAATTCCTATGTTGAATCAATGATACCCAGATGAAAGGTTCGATATCCTATTATCAGTCTCTTGAACCATCAAATTCTCCTCCTCTTCCCATTCAGCTATTGATTAAATTAAATGCAGCAAGGTAAATGGGGACAGGAAAGAAATTCCTTATCTTAGCAGAGCTCTTTGTCTATGTGCTTTAGTCTGCATTATAAGGAGATGGTAACCCCAAACTACTGGGCAATCTGTACACGAGACTTTTTCACAGCAGCCTTTCCACAAAAGGATCCCACTATTTTGTTATTATTTTTAAGGCCATTTAAATTTTTATTCTTTTTAGATATGTAAGTATGCATTTTCTGCTCATTACATGCTGCAGTTCTGGAGCAAAAAAGAGGTACAAAGAGACTGTGAAGGACAAACCCCCACCATTCATCTGTACACATGTGCCATGCTGGCTGCTGTATGTTTTGGAAAGATCCTCTGTAGATTCACCAATCTAAAGAAATAATGAGCTTAAAGCAGTGGAACCTCTGAAAACAGTTGGCAGTTAGATAATGATGGATATGCTACAGAACCCAGAGATGTTGGTGGTGGAGGATGAATGATGCATATAATGAAAAGGAGGCTGAAGCTGATCACCTTCCCTGTTAGTATAAACACGTAAAATGCAATTCACTGTGATGATGGTGGTGGTGCATTGCATAATAAATTATGTGTCTGGATCATAAAGGCAATATTTTATGATAGAAAAGTTTAATAGAAAATGTATGTAAATGAGTGCAACTTGCCAAATGATGCTTTTTGACTAGAGTGTAAGAGGAGAAAATAATTTCTTCTCCAGCACATTTGCAAGTTGAGCTGAAAAATGCCTGTGAGTTCCACTTTCCAATTTCACTCACATTTTCAGACATGGAAGGATAATGGATTAGTTAAGAGTTGTGTTTTATTGCTGTAAAACTGCTCAACATTCTGCAAAATTTTTGAAAGTGCTATGAGTGAAAGTTAGTGGTGAGGAAAATGCAGAAATTGCTGATTAATAGAGGAGCAGGACCCAGCCAAATCCTGTTCCAAAATTTCCAGGGTTTTGCAGGGGCTTAAAATTAACCTGGAGGGTTATAAATGAAGATTATCTTAGCAGAGAAGGCTTAATAAACAGAGAGCTCCAGTGGGGTGGAAAAAATACCCAGCCAGATAAATAATCAAAATGCTGGACAGGGAGACGCTGGTGAGAGACGGGAATGCTCCTGTGCTTCCCACAGCCTGCAGAGGTGCCCTGAGAGGGGTGCAGCCAGGCTTTAACCAGGCTTTATCCCCTCAGGCATGTGGGGGATCCTGGAGTTGTCCTGGGCAGGCCAGGAGCAGGGCTTCGATATTCCTTGTTGGGGCTCTTCCCGCTCATGGTAGGATTCTTCTTAAGGAGCTCCTCTTCTTAAGGTGAGTATGAGTTTTGAGACATGTTGTTCAGACAGGAAATGTGTTACCATTAACTAGGTTTAACTGCTAAGAAAAAAGGGAGTGGGATATTTTGGTGAGAGTACAGGAGTGGGTTGGGGATTCTTTTTCGTGGTGTTGGCTACATTTCTAGTGAATACATAGTGTTTGGGTTTTTAAATAATTTTAGTGAAATGTGCTTTATTTTGTATATTTATATATTTAAAAGTGTATACATATATACACAATAAAGCCTATCTTTGAGGAAGTTTTTACAAAAAATTATTTTAATATTCCAACAAAAACTTGTGATATACTATAGAAAAGTAAAATTAAATAAAATTTTCTTAAATAAATTCTGAGCAAAATTTACACCTCATAGACAGCCAAAATACTTATAAAAGCACCAAGTTGACATTTTGAAACACAGAAGCCTAAATCATTGTTTTGTTTTGACATTTTGATGCAACAAGTAGATATTTTTGTGTGACATTTCCAAAGCAAGTTGGGATTTTTTTGGTAACTGTCCTGCAGAAATGTTTTATGATTCAACAAGCAAATGTCAAACTTTCAGAATTCCCATGTAACATGAATTCCATTGGCTGATCAACTCTTGTTCATGCCCTTTGAGGAAGAGCTGAGCCTATCAACATGATAGAAATCTGTATTTCCACACAAGAAC